GCCGCAGTTGGGAAGTATGGCAGTTAGCTGAGTGGGGTTAGGGTAGATGGTGGGTGGAGACGGATGCCAGAGAAGGAGAGAAATGACAACCTGGCTAGGTCTGGCTGCTCACTGGCCTGGTCCCAGGGATGCTTCTAAGGAAACTTGGTGACCATTTGTCAGGTCCTTCAGACAAAAGGCACATTCACACAAATGCTGGGCTGGGAAGATTCTCCTGCCTAAAAATAACTTGTCTTTTGATATCTATAATTCTTCCACTAGACATTCCTTCCTTCGGTTCTAGAACAGCATTTCCCAGGCTGTGTTCAGCAGAACACTTCTATTAGACTTTGTCCCTTGATCAGATGAGATTATGAAATGCTGGGTTGCTCAAGATTCATCAGATTTTTCTTCTGCAGACATTCTCAGAGCCTTGTTTAATATGCTAATATGAGGTGTCATTTCCTGGGAAAGGAATAAAGCATAAACGAATTTGAGGAAATTTGTTTGAGGAAATTCCTCAAGTTTTAGAATCAAGGAAGCCTTGCCTCCACGAATGCCTCTTGGGGTTCAACTGGGAACTTTGTGGAATGCTGGTCTGGAAGCCTCTTTAGTCTCATTGAGTGTCCTATGGAAAGCAGATGTGTCTAGGGTTAGGGATCATGAGGGAGAACGAAAGCCACATAGACAAAGCCTTGAGAGCTGAGCCCAGTAGGGGGCTTGTGGATGGAGTGTCTGCTGGGGAGGGGCTGGCGTGGAGACCCAAAATGATCCTCTCCCCAGATGGCAGCTGACTTAGAGCCTGGCAGAGCAGGAGCATCAGTGCCCCACCCTTCGCCACCCATGTCTCTGCTGCCTTTATTCCAGGAGATGCAGCTCCTCTCCTTCCTCCCGCCACAGTGGAGCCCATCAGCCTGCATTCCACAGCTCTGCCTGTTCCCATCCGCACCTCCCGAGCCAGCAGGACACCAGCCCTTTCTAGGTCCTGGGGCTGAACTCCGTAGTCCCTTCTGCCTGGCTTCATTCTGGGATCTTCCTACGCATCTTTTAATATCATTTATGTGACCACCTCTAGGAAGACATCCCTGAGAGCTTTCACCGCTCCTCACCCCTTCTCAGCTGGATTTATTACTCCTCCCCGAGCTTCTGTGACACACTGTGCATACCACCCTCTGTTTCTGTCCCTCTAGTCTGGGGATCCTGGAGAGATTTGTCTTTGTATCTTTACATCCTCCTCTGGTAGGAGACAGGTGTTCAGTAATTAGTTGAATGTATAAGACCCAGGCATGGAACGATGTATGCATTAAACCCCTTATCTAGGCACCTTTAATGTGTTTCCTAAGAAAAAGACTGTTCTGCGTGTTATTTGTCCTTGCCCAGCTTCACTGGAGCTCTGACTTCCTGGAGGCCCAAGTCTTCTCACAGCCTCCTTCCCTGTCTGTCCATCCAGTCCGCTTTCTGTCTGGCCTGGTCCCTCCATCACTGTTCCTCTGATGACCAGTCTGCTCTGGGACACCTGATTCATTTTGTCTTCTTTAAAAAATTTGTGAGTACTGGACTATTAATGGCCTGCCTCTAGATGTATGTTTTCTTAGCAGGAAATAAGTGCAAATGTATTGAGAAGACAATCTGACTTGAAGGTTGGAAAAAAGTGTTTTTCTTTTCTTTTTTTACGATGAACTTGGCTTTAATGAGGAGCAGGAAAGGGGAAACTAGAAGGACAGGAAGCAGAGGATGTCACAAGTTTGTTGTCAGCAGCTCACCCAGGGCTGTGTGATGACTTTCATGGGCTTTACATACTTTTGCCTTTGTGACTTCTTCTCCATTAAAAAATTAAAACTTATGACAATGTTGCTATACACCTGAATATAGTGCAGACTGGATTCATTTTATACATGAATTGCCATTATGCTTGATGGTTTTTTTTGCTTGATTTTTTTTTCTGATTTAAAAATATCAAATGGGTACAAAGTCCAGAGGAATGAGCGCAAACAGCAGGGTGACTACCGTCAATACTATGGTACTGCATACTTCAAAATAATCAACAGAGATTATTTTTAATGTTTTCCAGTAATAAAACATTTTACAATAAATAAACAGTAAATGTTTGAGGTGATGGATACGCTAATTGCTCTAGTTATTACATAATGCATACATGTATTGAAATATCACATTGTACAACATAAATTAAAAATAATATAGAACTTAAAAATAGAACATTTCTGGGACCACTAAAAGCCTTGTGCGTCTGCTATGCATAGAGCTAAGTTCACCCTGAGCCCATTGTCCCGCCCGCAGGTCCTTGAGTACACAGTGCCCTTCTGACATTTTGATTCCCGGGGTCCCTCTGCCTGAAACGTCTGTCCCTGTCTCCCAGCCCAGCCCTGTCTCCACCCCACTCTGCCCCATCCACCCTGACACATTCCTTCTCATACTCAGGGTCCAGCCACAGTATCACTTTCTCCGGCCAGATGCAGTGGATTAAACTACAGGATGCCCCATTAATTTTGAATTTCTGGGAGATTCCAAGATCCCAAATATTTTAACATGAGTGTGTCTCACACCAAACATCCCAAATATTGCAGGAGACATGTTTGTACTAAGACATTATACATGTTTATCTGAAATTCGAATTTTCCTGGACATCTTGTGTTGTAACTGGCAGCCCTGCCCCTGTGGTTTCTGAGTCATCTTTCTGCCAGCTCTCCTTCCCACCTGCTCCCCCACCACCGAAGTGTTCTAGCATTTTCTGCACAGCCCCCTCACCACACACCCTCCCCACTCCCACCATCATTATACTTACCTGCCACGGTCTGGGCAGGTGACCGTGTAGCAGTTGTCATACATGAGTAATTGTATAATTTCCCTTTATTTCCCCAACTACGTATTCATTTTCAAGGATGACTGGGCAGCATTTGGTTTTCATTTCATTCAGGATATCATGAGGTTGAGACTAAAAATGAGTTAACTATTACATAGGACAATTGTAACATGTCTGTAAACAAAGCTCATGGTGTGAGGGTCAACAGTGTGAATGAGGGAAGGATGTCTTAGGCTGGTGCCAGAGAGCAAATCAGCTGTAGCTGAAGCAGGACCACATGTGACAGAGGCTGTTTCTGGTTTTAAGACTTAGGCCTAGGAAATTCTGATTGTCCTTCTTTGTCTTGGGAGTGTATGGTTTTTTAAAAAAGTTCTTTTCAGTGCACTTCTCTCAATGCTCACCACAGCCCAGATGACTCCTTAACATAGGAAAAACCAGAATGAGGTAGAGTGGCACAAGCCACAGGAGACCACAGGAGCCTGGGGGCCAGGCTTCTGTCTGGTGCTTTCCCACCACTTGAAGCTTTGGAGCTGGATGCCCCTGAGGGCAACCTTCCCTCGGAGGCTGTGAGTAGCAGCGAGCCCTGAGGATGGAGCCAGGCAGTTTGAAATGACTCAAGCCTGGAAGAATTTTTGTGAAGCGTGGTGAAAATTTCCTTTTTTATTGCTAAGGATTTCCCTTTCTCAGTTGAGTAAAATTTCCAAAGTTGGCCACTGGTTGTTTTGTTATTCATAGTGAGCAAGAAACCACAATGCCCAAATACCCAGCGTGGATCTGTGTGCGCACGTGGGTGTGTGTTTAATGACAGGTGTTCTTGCCCCTTAATTATCTCTCATCCACGTCTCAGCTCACCCTGCAGCTTAAAGGCACAGGCAACCGGGCCTGAAGTTGTTTCCAGGGCAGTCATCAGGTGAAATGAGAGAGAAAATGAAACAATGAGCTGTCGCCAGGTCAAATCCAGTTCCAGAGTTCTGCACATTACATTCCTCTTGGCATGTTCAAACTGTTCTTTGGTCTAGTAAAGTTTCTGATAATTTCTACAGAACAGTGATTTTTTTTAACTTAAAAATGAGATGATGTTATTTAACTCAGTGTTTTCCAAAATTATCCTGTGCTGCTCCTTTTGTTCTGAGGAACATCCATCCCACCGTAACCCCAGGAACATGTTTTAGGAGACTGGATCTCACAAGGGAGTGAAGGAAAGTGAGAGGTTTCTCCCTGGTTGTTCCCTCTCCCTGTATTTTGGCTCAGAAAAAAAGCAGCTATCCTCAGCACTGCCCTGAAGCCTTGCCAGGCAGCCCTGGCAGGAGGACCCCACACACCTGAGCCCATATGTTCTCACTCGTGGTCTCACTGAGTCTTGAGGTAAGGGACAGTGTGTACGGGGAGGAGGAGGCACTGCATGCCTGGCAGACCGAGCACCACATTAAGTGCTGCCCATTGGTGGTCTTGATTGGTGACTAGGAGAGGAGCCACGCGGGCGCCATACCAGAGCGGGGCGTGTGTATGTGAGGAGGAAATGCGCTCCCCTCCCTCAGCCCGGAGCACTCACATTTCCTCTCTTCACTCTGTTCACACCAGAACACGCTAAGCCACAACTACCATATGCACAGTTCCGAGCATTCTGCCACACTGCTGTGTAGGGGCAACATGCATAGTGTTCACTCAGACGTGTGCCTTGTGGTGGCACCAAGTTCTTGCTGCCGCAGCTGCTTTCCCTCTCCAGACGGGATGCTTCTGACTTACTGGCACTGAATTGTAAGTTTAGCCTCAATGTCACCTCTGAATAAAGCAAGCTTTCCTTTTATTTTCTATTCCAGTACCCTGTTTGTATTCTCCATAGCACTTACCATCACCTAGATCAACACACATTACTCCCTTGAATATTGCCTGTCTCCCTCCAAATAAAATAACAACCCCACCAGGGCTCAGATATTGTTGTTTCAGTCACCTTTGGGTCCCCAATGTTTAAAACAGCGCCTGACCCAGTATAGACACACCATAAGTGTTTGTTGAGTAAGTAGAGAACAACTTATCCTTTTCCCCATCGACTGATTGCTGGGAGTTGCTGGGTGTGGCCACTGATCAACAAATGGGCTGTGTGGTGTTGAGGGAGATAGTCTGTAGTAAATACCTGTGGATAGCTGCCTGGCCCAGCCATAAGTCCGGTGGAACATGAGGAAGTAGGGAAGTACAGAGAGCAATAGAAATGAGTTTTTATTTGTAAAAAGTTACAAAATGATATTGTACAAAAATAAAGTCTGTAGAGAACTTTGGTTGTATAACACAAACGACCGGGACAGATCAGAGAAGTCAGAACTTCCAAAGAAGTGCACTCTTTACTGTATCTGATGGTGATCACAATGATCAAAAAGAAAAATCACAAACTTTACCCTTTTGTGGATTTCGTGGAGCAATTTGCTCCCATTAGAACCTGCTTATGATGTACAGGTGATGCTGGGAACAAGTTGTCACCACGCATTGAACCCTGCAGCCCCTTTGGGCGAGGACTCTGGGGAGCTGGGGCTGAGGTTGATACCCGGGAACATCAGCCACCACATCTGCCAGCATTCTCTGAATTTGGGGCAACATCCAAATTGTGCTGCATAGCTGGGGATGTCATTGTTTTGAGCAGGAGAGGGTGAGAGAAACCCTTTTCCTCCATTTCCCTGTCATTCGAGGGTACAGAAAGGACAGAGGGACAGAACAATGGAGAACTTGGGTCTTTGAGGGTGATGAGTGGGGAAGATGTCTGGTAACTGCTTCTTGGTTACTTTGCAAAAATAACATAATTATTTGAGGGAGGCCAGTAGGTTATACGTGCTAAATGTGTACTACTTTTGTGGCCAGTAGCCACTTAGGTAGTGGTAGATTAGCTCCTGGATAAAAAGCCCTTTTATAACGTGTGTAGCAAGCTCTAGCATAGGGCCTAATCATCACCCATAGGTTGGCTGCCAGAAAAATTCACATGGGGCCACAGAGGTGGCAGCTGCTTCCATCCTGTGCTTCTTCCCCTGAGCTCTTTCATCAAAGAGGGACCCTGCTCTGGGGGTGAGGCCGTGTGTGTGTGTGTGTGTGTGTGTGTGTGTGTGTGTGTGTGCACGCGCGCTGCGGCTGGCCCACATGCATTTTCCTTGTCCATCCTTCTTAGCCACCTTCTCCCCAGGAAGCCTTCAGGTGAGTAGGTGCTACAAGAGTTGACCCCAGGCAATAGCCGAGGGGCTTGTAGGGGACCAGGCATCGGTATGGTGCTGGCTGCACTATGCACCTGTGGTTCTCGGAAAGGCAGGGGTGGATGGCAGTGATGGAGGAAGAGACACCACAGGTCAGGGCAAAACCATGGCTGCCTGACAGGGTCCTTCACTTTGCTTTAGGTCAACATTAAATCCAGGACTGCCCACGACAGGCATTTTACCTTTTATGTATATGGTTATGCATATTACAGGTAGATACATGGGGGGGGCAATAACTACAACAGAGAGTGGAGCATACGGCAATATCTGTTCGGTGCTGGAGCAGCAAAGAAATGAAGCCAAGCTGGTGGTTTCTGCACACTGCCCCCAAAAAGGGAGCCAACCTGGAGGTGCTCCTTCTGACACGCTTAAAAAAATACAAACGGAAAAAGACTGAAGTCTGGGGAAATTAATGAGGGATTTTCTTAAAAAGGTAAAGTAAGTGATTTTTGCTTAGAGAAAACCTTTTTAACACTTTGGAAAGCATGGACCCTTGTTCCCAATTAAAATTTCCTTTTGTTACCTTTCTTTGCATTTTGCGCGCATATACACTTTGGCACCTTTGAAAAGAAACTTTAATAAATAAGGGGAAAAGAAGAGAAATTCATTAGTGAATGGTAATAAATAACAATAACTTAAATCTCAATAAATATCTTCTCTATATTTCTGTATCTGAAACAGATGCATTGCATCGAGTAGCTTCTCTGGTCACTGGTGACCATGCATCAACGGAGCTGGGTATGTAACATCTGTCTTTCTGTAAACCGAAGGCCCTGGGATGGGTCTCCCTGGCCTGGGGCAGCGGGGCCTTCCCTGCTTGCTCTCCTAGGAGAATGCTGTCGAAAACCATGATCGCTTCCTGTTTCCAAGGACATAAAGGAAATACCTTCAGGTTTGTGTTTCATCATGAAGACAGCTTTTTTTTTGGTTCCTAGCCAACTTCTTCCTACCCCACATATTGTGTTCAAAATTCATCATCAACCATTCCCCCAGAGGCTTGCTGTAGTCAACCTCAGGCCTCGGCTTTTAAATTGTGTCTCCGCTTTTGTGTCTCCGCTATTTTTCCCCCTCTCCTTTCCAGGGTATGAATCCACTGAGTGACAGAAAAATAAATCTTTCTTACTTTCAGCAGTAGAACATAATGACAAGGAGTGACACCAGACTCACTGTTTGCCTGACGTCCTCAGACAGGTGAAAACAAAGCACAGGAGATACACTGGTTTGGTTCTTTGAGTACATCCGCGACTGCAACCGTGGTTGGTGATGGTGGACTGTATCAGAAGAAATGATGACAACAGCCAACCAGGGACGCCAGCCCTGAGCTTCTGGTGATTTCGGCTGCTGTCCTGGAGAACCCAGATGGCTGTTTTCTCTCTCCCATCCAGTTTTCTATAGCTGGACCTCCCTCTACCAGGCTCCCACGATGGCTGCCTTCCTCCTTCTCTTCCTCCTCCGCCTCTGCCTCCTTGGTCCTCATCTTCCCTTCCGGGCAAACATTTCCTGGGAACCTTGGTCCCTTTCTTTGCACTGTAGCAGGAATGCAATACACAGCAGTCTCTGGAGCTGGAGTCAGATACATCCACACCTTTTAGCGGAATGCTTTCTTAGAATATGGTAAACCAGGTTATCATCTAAAAATGACAGGTCGTCGTCGAAGGCAATGGGTCTGCAACAGGCCTGCCCTACTTTGTCACTCACTAGCCTTCTACTTCTGGATAAGTTTTTTAGTATTTTGTCATACATTGTCTCAGCTGCGTCGCAAGAGCCGCTGCAGTACCGAAAAATCAGTTCTTCCTTGGTTTCATAGCCCAAACCCAAGTCAGTGACATTTAAATGTATTGCCGTTAAGACACAGCCCCGATTTTTGCCCCTCTGGCCTCTTCGACCTTTTCCTCTGGAATTCTCTGGGTTGGCAGCTGCAGCTTGCCGATTCCGTTCTCTTCTAGGAAGCACTGCTATTTGTTTATCTGGTGACCTTTTCAGTCTTCTAATGGTGGCTTGAATAAAATCCATGACATCATCAAATTGATCGGGATAATCCTCTGGCATATTTGCTGTTCAACAAGAAAACAGAAAATGTCACATGAGACAACAATGACCATTTCAGGCAGTCTTCTAGATCAAAGTGCCCCCTAAAGTCAGTGCAAATTGGGCCCACAGTGAAAGCTCAGCCGCTTAAGCTAAGTGCACATTATAACTCCCTAAAAACAGAGGTTAATATGTATCCTCTAACTCTGCAGAAGAAAGATTAGTTGGAAGAAGAGACTATTGTGGTGGGCGATCCACTTCCTTGTAGAAATCCAACCCTTACAAGTGTATTTTACATTTGAGCCTATTTTAGGAAGTCAGAAGAGGGGGCTGTGAGCAGGCTGACAATTGAAGGCTCTTTTCTTGCCTTGGAATATAGCCTAGAGCTTGGTTCTTTTATTGTGCAATGTTATGGTTTATATCTAAATGTTCCTCCAAAACCTCACACACACATTGGTGGGGTTTTGGGGAGCAGACTGAATCATGAGTGTGTTACTGGATTAGTCCCCTAATGGGTTTACAACTGGGTTTTGTAATGTTGGAAGGTGAAGCCTCATGGGAAGAGGTGGGTCACTGTGGGCCTGGCCTGACAGGGTATAAATCCTTCCTCTCCCTTGATCCCTTCTCTGATTCCTGCCTTCCACGCCATGAACTCTTTCTCCTGTGCCATGCCCTTCTACCATGCTGCCCTTCCCCGAAGCCATCTGATTATGGTCTGAAACCTCTATAAACTGTGAGTCAAAATAAACCTTTCTTTCTTTAACTTATGGGTATCAGGTATTTTGTCCCAGCAATGAGAAAGTAACTAAGACACGAGGAAAACACTCAGAATGCTCACTGAAATGCACGGTGCTAGCTCACCCTCGGAGACCAAGAAGTGAGTGAGTGTGTGTGTGTGTGTGTGTGTGTGTGAAGAAACCTGCATTTTTAACACGCCCCCAAGGGGTTGTGATATTTACAATTCATAGGCTAACCTTGAAGAAACACTGTCTTAGAGGCCAAAAGAAAAGTACACCTCCCAACCTTGTGACTTTCATATGGAATACTGAGTGCTCGTCCCTGAAATTCATCCCGACACTGTGTGGCTGATGAGAAGAACATTTGGACAGAACAAAAAAGAACTCTAGAACCCAACTCTACCTTAAAACTTTAAAAACTATAAGGAATGGAAAAACAACTTATATCTCACTAACAAAGAGACTAATTTGCCATTTTCTTTGGTGTGAATTTAACAAAAAGGTATGGTGATTTAAATGTATCAAATGTATCACAGCAGTGGATGAAATGAGACGTTGTTTGCGGATGGATGCAGCCTTTACCCCGGGGGGAAGCTCGGTCTCTGATGTAGGCTGTCACACAGCAGATAAGATGAGAGATGTACACCTCAGGAGGTCCCATAGGGAAAAATGAGAGGACACTACCAGGTGTGAGACCTCCGATTAAAGCAGTATGAACTTGCAATCTCTTGATGTCTTCTGGGTATTTCAGCATTTGGTGCAGTATTTCGCCAACTGAGTAAGAGGAAAATTAACTCAATCGGGACAATTTAATACATTTCTAAAGGGAAAGTAAATCAAGCTTGAACTATTAGATACTATGCCTTATGTTCGCCCGGCCCTATTTTCAGGCAATTTTGTTTCTTTAAGATTATATGCGGCTTAGAAAAACGTACCTAAGAAGAGCTGTGAACAAGAGGTACTTTTTCCAGGACTGTGTTAAATCACAGGAAGAGTAGACTATGCCTACCCAACCTGAAATTATTTGACCATAAACCTAAACTATTTAATTGTTAAAGCATAGCAGGTATTCTATGGTATAAAATGAAATATAGGCAGGGTTGCTTAACTACTTGTGTGTTAAGCCTCCTGACATGTTGATCTGGATCATTCTTCTTTGTGGGAGGCTGTCCTGCACACTGTAAGATGTCAGTGTCCACCGGTCCTAGTCACTACAACCACAATGTCTCTAGACATGGCCAAGTGTCTCCATGGGGGCAAAACCATCCAGATAGAGCACCAGAGCTAGGGACTCTGGCTTTTGTGCAGGCTGACTCCTTTGTGCCTAGATCGCTGTCTGTTCCTTAGGGGAGCCCAGTGCTACTCCATGTTTCCTTCAAGTTTTTGCTCAAATGTCATGGTCAATAGTCACACTCTGACTTCCTTGTCTAAAATGCAATATGTCCCCAACCCCTACTCCCTATGCCCCGCTCCCCCCTACTCTACCGTACACTGCTATGTTCTAACACACTATCTGAGGTGTTAGGTATGTTATGTATGAGCTGTCTTCTCTGATAGAATGCCAGTTCCAAAATCACAAACAAATCTAGGAATGGGGTCTGGTACCTGGAGGTCTTGATACTGTTTGTTAAGTGAATCAATCACTTTCTACAAGAAAGAAAGAGTTCTTAGTTTTTCAAGGGGACACAGGGCTTTCACTGAGAACTGCATCTTTTTGAAATGAAAGGCTCCAAAATAAACAGCCTATATCACACAGTACATAGGCAGGACTTGATATCCTGCATGACACAGTCACCTCCCATGAGAACCACCTCCAGCATCACCTTCCTTAACAGCTTCCTGTAGTGTTAAAGCTTAGCCCTCAGTACCCACCTTATCCTAGCTGGGCTCCCAGACATAGGGCTCCTGAGTGGAAGAGTTTTCAAGGGCCCAGAGAGTGGGAGAGCATTCCTAATGCCTCCTTGCCTTTAGACTGCTTTTTAACTGGTCTTCCTTTAGGAAGTTTTCTCAGAAACAACGACAAAATTAAATCACTCTGATTTAAAAAAATGAACTAATTTTTAAAAATGAGTTGTTTATGCTATTTGTGATTTCTTTCCATAATAAGTTATTAAAGAGGAAATAAATATAACTGTATTTCTTTTTAAAAATAAATACTTGTACTTGTAGAAAAATCATGATTGTTCTTAGAAAAATAGGTACATCTGTTCCTAAGAATTCCCTGGAACTTCTAAAATGAATATATTCTAAGTGATTGACCAAAACATAAAGGAGTCTTTAAATAAAAATGTTGTTTTACAAAGGGACTGACACTTGAAGTCCCCAGCTCTATTCAGCTCCTAAACAGATCATTAACTTAAGAACATAGGAACATCAGTTAACAATCATCTGAAGATTAATCAGAAATGGGATAAAATATTATTAAAATTTTAACAAAAGTAATGGTAAAATATTTGAGTTACAAGAGTTCAAATTACCCTGGTTTACAGATTTATAAATTTATAAAAGCTACTTAATTTCATATTACTAGAGTTATAATAATTTGAATCAGCACTGACAGCATTCTTACTTAGTTCCTGATACTTCTGAGGTTGTTGAAAAATATTCCTCCTCCCTTTTAAGATATAGTGACTGCATGGCTTTATCACAGCTTAGTTTACCAGAAAAAAAGAGTGCCCTAATAAATTTAAATTTCAGATAGTGAATAAAATTTCAATATAAGTCATCCCAAATATTGCACAGGACAAATAATGCAACATTTGAGATATACTTACACTCATGAGAAAGTTTAGTGCTTTTTTCCTTAAATTCCACTTGGCCCTTTCTGTTGCCCATGCAGAACGTGAATGCCCAACTGCTTATGATTTTGGATGATGTGCGGTTAACAGCCTACTAATCAGGAGTTAAAAGACTTCTTGATGATGGTGAATATATACCATAATAAACTTGTCAAAATCCACACCATGTACCAGACTGAGAGAGAACCCCTGTGCTAACTATGGACTTTGAGTGATTATTTTATGTCATCCTAGGTTCATCAATTGTAGCAAATGTTGATAATGGAGCAGGCTATGTATGTACGGGGGCAAGGAATATATGGGAAATTTATGTACTCTCCTCTTCATTTTGTTGTAAACCTAAAATTGCTCTAAAAAATAAAGTTAAAAGAAAGCTTCTTGGGGACTGGGGATTTAGCTCAGCAGCACAGCGCCTGCCTGGCAAGCGTGAGGTTGTGACTTCGATTCCTGGTACCGGGAAAACAAAACAAAACAAAAAACAAACAAACAAAAAAGAAAGCTTCTTGGATAAATATCTGATGTGTTAAACTGAGGATATAGTACTGAAAACTCCTCCTTTTGATGGAAAAGTCTCTCTCCTACCTTGTAACTACTACAGAAATATTAAGTTCAATATATGTGACTTTTATTGAGTTGAAGGCTTCCTTCCTTCATATTCTTAAAAAATAGAACAAAAATTAAATATTTCTTTGGAAAATTTTACATAGATATGAACTGTGGAAATCAGGAATGGGCAACTGACTCTTCCAACTAAATTCCTAATTCCAGGCTTTGTGATACCATTGAGTTAATTCACAGAGAACCTCAATTTATCAGTGTGGGGTCTTGGGGGGCATTAGGAGCCATATACCTTTGCAGACGGGGGCTGGGCAAACATCACTGGGTCTGTTCTTAAGAATTCCACAGAAGCATCTAGCCCAGCCCAGGCAAGTAACTCCACAAGATGAACCGAGAAGCCCACAGTTGCTCCAATTTTCCAACAATTCCCTGAGCCGAGGAGAAAGGAACAGGGCTAGGGTTTGGGTTAGTTCCCTCAAGTAAGACTTAACAGCACTGGATAGAGTGGCATGTGCTTGTAGTCCAGCTACTGGGGAGTCTGGGGTAGCAGGACTGAGCTCGGGAGCTTGAGAATATCCTGGGCAAAATATCAAGACACCATCTCAAACAAAACAAACAAACAACACAAACCTTAGCAGGGTATCACTTTCTACTTTACAAAGTCCTGGCAGAATGTGAGATACACAAACAGCCCTCACTAAAGTTAATTTCGACAATAAAATACTTGTAAGCCACAAAAGAAGAGCATCATTAAAAACAAAACAAAGCAGGTAGGTCAGACGGTTGCTCATTTCTCAAACACACTTAGAAGACATATCTTGGAAAACATCCATCTCAAAGCAAAGTACTGAAAAAAAAATCCTCAAGGGTACATAAGTCATCCCTCAGCGTCATCCATGCTGAAGTCTTGGCTTTATTCTATTTAAAGTATTT